ACCGAGAGACGGTAGTAAGACAGTTGAAGTTCGGACCTGGATGTGTGCAGTCATATGTGAGAGAACACCTGATGAGAATGGAGAACTTGTGACCATGTATCATTGTTCGAGAGAAGACATGAACGTTTCCTGATTGCCAGTTTCAACATGTACTAATACCAGCTACAAGGCTTTAGTATGATATGGATGTGTGATTCGAGAGATATGAACGTAGCAAAGCAGTGTGCGAGAGAGTTAGCCAGGTCATCATAAATCAGCCATGCATAACGACCACGAGGACGAATGAATGAGCTGTCAGTGAGATGTTTGATTCAGCAAATAAAGTTCTATAACTGAACATTCGTTTCTGGTGTGCCCTAGCAACTAAGTGTACGTCTATACAGCAATGTGGCGGGTAGAAACAAACCCCTAGCAGAGCACACTGCACCACCCCCCCCCCCCACCCCGCTTCCATAATCACTTTTACATATTTTACTTTATAGAATATATATTTTCTATCTCCAACACCAAGTCAGTCAACTCCCTCTCTTTCTTTATTCTGCTGTATAACTTATAGGTAAAACTCACGTTTCCAGGCCCGGCTCCACCCATTTACACACTACGTCACCTTTCCTTCATACTCTGTTAGGCTCGTAAACTTTGCTTAAGGTGACAGGGGTGTCCTGGTGTAGTGTTCTTCGAAGAGCTTTCAGCGTACTCTTCACCAGCTGGTGATATCGTATGCTGAATATTCCAGGATATCAGCACTTTTAACGGTCCCACAAAACATGCACAGCTGGCCCTAACACAAACCCCGCTACGAGAGTGGTGCAGCTTGTGTCCCACGCTTTCTCTTTCTTGGAATGAACACGTAAACAGACGACAAGGCACAAAGCTTAAAAAATAAACCAGTAGAGAGAGAACCATGTGACACCCCTGCCACTTAGAGTTGTCTGGTTGTTTATCGATTAGTGTGTTGTCCTAGTGGGGTTCAACTTCACGTCCAGTACCCTCCCACACAGGACTACATGTTTCTTCATAACTGTTTCATGATGCCTCAATATCATCATCATCAGGTGCCTTGTAGACTGGCGTGGGCGATTATGCCTCTCCACAATCTGTGATCTCCTGCAGCATGTATCAGTTCGTGTGCCAACACACCTCCATGCCATGCAACAAGACTGTCAAGAATCTTCTCTCATTGTCTTCCTCTAACCCTCCTTCCACAGATCTTTCCAGTGGTAAGAACATGTTCTATTTTTCCTCTTCTCATAACATGGCCGGAAAATGATGACTGTCTCCTTCTGATGCCTCAATTTAACTATGGTATATGGCTATACAGTTGAAAGGGTTTACCATATATGCACCTGATTGAGTCTTTTCCTTGCATTGTTTATCCTACATACTGCAATCTTGACAAAAAGTAAAGGACCTTTTCCACGCCTTAGGCATATAGGGTATATAGGCCTAGACCTATATTTTTATAGACCAATCGGCACAAGATTAGTGATGTGGTCAGCATCACGCCAGCCACCTTTACTTCCCCAGACTGCACCCGGTACCCACTCAAGGTTGGGTCGACCTGGGAGTCAACTACAATCATGAATGGGAAACTGACACTGAAAGGCTTTCTTTTTTAAATCGTTGCTGCTCCAATTTATATATATATATATATATATATATATATATATATATATATATATATATATATATATGGCACGGCCCTGTTAAATGTATATCCTAAAATGTGACCAAGGGTTTGCTAAAACTGTATGCATTTCGCCGAAAAGTACAGATACCATTGCCTAGCTATAAACCGTAACAGTGTGCCAAGATTCTGCTTTCACAATAGGTATTATTTGTTTTGTCATAAGTATGAGCGCCAAGAAACTTATTATAAACAGCACACTCATGCCAACTCTGTGCTACCAGTGCCAGACTTTGACATTATCAAAGGCTACCCTTAGTAACATACGTCAAATTAACATCTGTGAAAGGAGATGTTTGAGAAAAGTAGCCAACTTAACCATGAGAGACAAAATTAGAAATGATATTATCAGACAGACTGTAAGAACAACACCATGCAGCAGATTCATTGAGAAACAGAAGATCGAATGCTTGGTCATCTAGTTGTTTGTTTGTTTTAGTATCCAGAAGCCATGAGTTAGGCTCGGCATTATGTATATCGCAACCTTTCGGCCTTGATCCCATTATAAATACCGTAAATCTGGGAGAAAATGGGGCTTTTCTGCCTACCCCCGGGAGTGAACTCGGACCACAAGGAGTTCGTCACCCGCTCACCGCGAAATCCGGTTTAGCCAACTACGCTTTAGTAAGAATGAAGAGCCAGAACAACTACCAACGGAGGCGCTACACATGAAAAGATCTGAAGTGAAATCAAGAGGCCGCCCTAGAAGAATATGGACTGATGACATTAAAGAGCTTCTACGTCGACAGGCAATGATAACAGCCATTCCTGTCTAACAAGCAATGGATCTCAAACTGTTCCTCCCACAACGCTGAAAACGGCAGAAGTGGAAATTGATGACTGACTGACTGACTTTTTACCCCACTAGGACATCACACAAGCGATAAACACCCGATGACACAAAGTGCCACCTTGCGGATGAGGATCGCCGTGGAGAGGTCACAGAAATCACGTTCAGACAATTGGCCATATTTATAGCCTGTCTATATTGCGGCCCCTGGCAAAAGCCAGGGTGGGGCTTCAAATAAAAAATTTCGTCCTAAAAAGGACAAAACTGGTAAGAAATTGATGATGATGATGTTTTGTTTTGTATCCTGCAGAAATTGGGCAAGGATAACATTTGTAAGTACAAAGTAATGCAGCATGTAGTCGATAATGTCGCGTCATTGTTGTTGTAGAGAGCAGACGTTGACTGTCCAGTGACTGTCTGCTAGTCAAGAAACACCCAGGTCTATTGTGTTTGATTTAAACAACATGCGCGTGTTTCAGTAATTCCATATTTTGCCATATCTGTCATTAAAGATTACAGTAACAAAGCTAAGAAGATAGTAATTGGAAAGCATACAATAAAATTTAGTGTTATTTCAATCGAAGTTCGAACCAAACCCAAGAAGACGAGATCGAAACGTAATTAATTTGTATATAATATAAGTACTTTAGTCAAATTTTTAAAATGCCCTCAACACCAATAAAACCAGCACAGTTAGATAGCTGTAAACAATCTCTTTCCAACGGTACCTCATTTAGGCTTGTATGTCATTTCTGAGCTGAGATATGTAGGTTTTTGTGGAGATGAGATGTAAAAAAACTATACTAATATATAATAATATATTAATAATGTTGTCTGTTTTACTTTAGTTTTGGAATATGTTAGCCCTACCAGACCTCAGGCCCTGAACCTAACTGTCTCCTACACATGAGCTCTTGGCCATTAACGCGAAAAAACCAACATGATATAGCAAAATATTAGATACATGCAAACAAGTAGCTAGAAAAAGAAGAAACTTGGAGACATTGTATTTGTAGAAAATAGGTTTACCTTTTATCTAGCGTCAATATTCCACCTTTGTGTGTTAATCCACCAAGTAGAATCAACATTGTTTCACAAAGTGAACACCAGATGTTGTTTTTTGAGGGACACGCCCCCTTCTCCTACTTTCGATCTATTTCTAAATTTATAATTTTCAAGATTCTCCTCATTATTTGAGCTCTCTTACTTCAGCTGTGAATGTATTCTTCATGAAATTATGACTCCTCAGAGTCTGAATCAACCAAAGTATCGATCATCAGTTGGACTGTGATAAGCCTAGACCTACTTCACTTTCCTGTCGAAGTGTTTGGTTCACCAGCCGCTCGTTTTATTTTAATTTTCAGAATTTTTTCACGTAAATCAACACAAATTTTATCCAAACAAGTACGGGCGGACATCTGGGAAGACCATCCACGAGATCTGATTACCATTGGCTAGTTAGTTTTAGTTTGTGACGTATTGTTTTCTCGTAGTACGTAAATTCCCGACATTGAGGGACAGCGGTAGGTTAGGAAATTCCTGTAATAGTGGGCCAGCGGTCTGGTAGAGTTAAACGTTAAGGTTATATAGATTGTTAAAATCATAATTAAGGTAACCAGTCTGCAGCTAGCTCCAATAAAGTGTAAAGAAGAATTTTGAAATCCACTATCAGCTCATTTGATTTATTGATTATCCTCCGAATAACTGTCCCAAATTATGGATACATACACAAGTGTTTCACAGCTTATTGTCCATGTTTCACATACATACACAAGTGTTTCTCAGCTTATTGTCCATGTTTCACATACATGCACAAGTGTTTTCACAGCTTATTGTCCATGTTTCACATACAGAGAGTCTTGCAATGCCTACCTAAAGCCCAGTACAACACTGTCACCTGGACACTTGCCAACAACACCATATATTCAAATGTTTAAGTTCTGACAGCACTGTAACACTCTTTGTTCTCACTGCATTGATATGTTATCACAATCAAGGTCACTGCACATTGGGCATTCCCATGTGTGCTCAGTCCTCCAATGCTCTTGCCACTCCAGTGTACTTCTACTACTTGTTCCCATGAGAGGTTGGTTATAATGTCTCCTATCTCGGCCTCAAAGGCGGCATAGACGTGCTTCACCATGCTGTACTCCCAGGTCACGCAGTCATGTTAGTGTCAGAAGAGATTCATCACTAGCCCAGTCCGTACAGTGTTGATGATATTTGCTCTGTCCATGCTTCTTCCCACATGTTGATGTATCATTTGCCAGTTGGTCCGGCTCATTACCCTTTACGCAGTTCATATTATTTTTTTTGTAAGACATTGGAAGTTGTACAGAAAATTTCACATTTTATGAATATTCTTTTTTACAGGTTCAAAACATCTGATAACCAGTTCAGTAAATATTGGAGAGAACTAAGAAATCCAGAGAGACAGAGTGTGTTGAGGCGTATGCAGAATAATATTGATTTGTTTAAAAGCTAAGAAATATTTGTATCTGTCCATATTGAAAACTTTCAAGAATGAAGTGGTTTGAAGGAGACATTCCAAGAGCTATTCAGCAAGCCAAACTCAACAAGTCAGTGTTCATCGTTTTCATTACAGGTGAGGCTTGTTTGTAATCCAGTGAGGCAGGTTGGTGGGTCTTCAAGGTGAAGTGGTTAGGCTGTTTGCTTAGCGCTCTGAATGTCATGGGTTCATTTTCTGACTGTGTTGTTCAGTTCACGAGTGGAATTTTTATGGATACCCTTGAGGATTATCCCTGGAGCAACTGTGTTTGTGCTTTGTGTGACATTCTAGCAGGCAGCTAGCCCTTCTGTGGAGAGAGACTGCATCATTTGGAATGAAACCCGATGCAGTAAAGTAAATCCTCTCGACTTTAACCTTCAACCTTTTCATAAGCGGGAAATATGTGGTCCCATAGCCGGTGTCGGGTGTGCTGACATTTTCTAGGCCAATGGTTCCCGTTTAGCTATATATAAAAATATATACATACATACTCACATTTCTAGTTGGAAAAGTTGAAGGCAGCACAGCAAGAGAAAGACAACAGTTAAGTTAAAAAAGAAACCCCCCCCCCCCCCCCGCCCCCGCCACCCCACCCCCCCCCCCCCCCCCCCCCCCCCCCCCCCCCTCTTTTTTCCCCCATTTTGTTTTTCAAACACTAATGGTCAATAGGGCATGTGATGCTTGACTCATTTATATAGGACCAGTGATGACTCTGTGGTCATCATCTTCATAGCAGCCGCCTTTACATCCATAAAGGTACCCAGTTTAGGCTGAGTAGACCTGGAGGGCCACGGTCACTTTTGACAGACTGCCGTGGTAGGATTTGAACTTCAGAGTTTAGGTCAACAGGTCGTGGGAAACGATAGAACCAAGATCTGTCTGAGAGAATATACAGCTGTAGTGAACAAATGACGGACTTTATTTTCAGAGGGTACAAATTGGGCACACAGGCCAGTCTTGAGTTCTGTCCTTCCAGACACTCATCTTTCATACAGCATGTATATTTTATTTACCAGTATATTTATATGTGTATTTTATCAAAACTCAAAGAATGGATGTAAAGTAGAAATAGTGAAGCATTGATGGCAGGTGTATACTTTCAAATGTACATACCTTCAAATATGCATGAAAATTACACACAAAACACACACAAGGCACACACAAAAAACGACCGGGGCGGTAGAATATATACACGAATACACTTGTATATACACGAATACACTTACACACACAGAGGTGCCCATACAAAGACCAATACAATATAAACATGCATTCACACTCACAGACAAAGCACAAACACAGCACACACAGGTGCACAGATAAACATACTTATAGACAGGGCATTCACAGGTGTGCACTGCAAACACACACACAAACACTTACAGCCACAACACTCACACAGATACCACACACATAGCTGTGAGAGACAGAGAGTGTAGAGAGCCATTTCAGCAAACCTTCACTATGGAGACAGCCTGATTCTTTTAGTCAACACACAAGTGAGAGAAGACAGTTCACATAGCACATGTTTGCAGCTGAATTTGCAGCTGTATGAGATGAATAAGTAAAACGACGCTTTTCCGCGCCTTCAGGCGTACTAGGCATATAGGGCTAGATCTATATTATATCGACCAATCGGCACTCGGTGGGTGATGTGGTCGGCATCACTCCACCCACCTTGAATTCCCAGGTCGACATGGGAGCCAAGGTAGTGTTTTGAAAAAAAAGTCCAGCCTAATCAGGAGCTGAATCCACGACCTTCAGATCCACAGGCAAGTGTCTAGCCCCTACACCATGCAGCTCCCTGTGAGACAGATAAGAAAGAAAAAGAAATACATAATTTGGATTTGATGTTTTAATTTTGTGAATTCAGGTGAAGATGACAGCTCAGTTGAGATGGAGTCCTACTTGCATACAGATGATGTCACAGCAGTTGTTGAAGGAAATAACGGGGTGGCAGTCAAGTTATTAGCAAACAGGTTAGAAAAGTTGCATATGTATTTACTTAGTGGCTGTTTGCTGCCGTAGGCCCCGGTGTTTAGTAAGTAAAGGACTCTTTTCCACGCCTTTGTAGACCAATCAGTGTTTAGTGGTACTGAGTAAAAGGTGAAGACAGTCTCTTAGCAGAAACTGCCAAGGAGAAAGGTGGAGGCAGGAATACTACGTGCAGAGTGGCAAGATTCACTTCAGAAGTTCTGGGTAGTTGGCTTCCTGCAGATATTTTCTCCAGGATATGCCAGTGTTTTCTGTAAACTGTACCCCCTATCACCCCTGTCTCCAGGCCACCAGGACATCTAACATGGTCAGAATAGCTCAGCTTTTGGGAGGGATTCTGTTTATGAGCCAGTTCTCTTCAATGCTCAGATCACGGGGAATGTCACTGTTTTTCTTTTTCTTCCTCCATGGTGTCCAAAGAATGTTTCTGTAGCATTTAACTTCAAAAGTTCTGATTGTTTTCTTCAGTGATTCAGTAAGAGTGTGAAAGTTCCTGATTGTTTTCTTCAGTGATTCAGTAAGAGTGTGAAAGTTCCTGATTGTTTTCTTCAGTGATTCAGTAAGAGTGTGAAAGTTCCTGATTGTTTTCTTCAGTGATTCAGTAAGAGTATGAAAGTAAGAGACTATGCCACCATGATAATGTGTACAATTTATACGGAGGAGCTATATAAAGAATGTCAAAGAGAGGCCTGTGTATGTGGGAAACAACAGAGAAGGTGTCTAGACAAAGGTGTGAGAGGTTACCTAAACATAAACTCTGGTGACCTAAGAGATGAAAGCAAAACACAACAGGCAATATAAACCAGTGTTAACAGAGTGGGGAGCCAAACACTTGGAACAGTCCAGATTAAACAGGCTATTTTAGGAAATGTGTTAATGAAAGGGCTTGCAAAGAATGCAGGTACAATGCCTGGACATGCTATAGGCATGAAGGGAAAATAGTTTACATGTTCTTGAACTCTTTCTGTTTGTTTCTTTCTCTCCATCTCTCTCTCTTTTTATATGTGTGTGTGTGTATATATATATGTGTGTCTTTCTCTATGGCTCATGCATGCACACATACACGAACAGTTCTGCTCATTGACAAATGATGGTAAAGTATTTCTTCCCCCACCACTCTGCCTTCTGGGGTTGCAGCTTTGTTGTATGTTTTAGTATCCAGAAGCCATGAGTTGTTAACCCTTAGGCTCAATATTATGGATATCACAACCTTTCAGTCTTGATTCCATTGTAAATATCGTAAATCTGGGAGAAATGTGGCTTTTCTGCCCACCCCCGGGAGTGAACCCGGACCACAAGGAGTTCGTCACCCAGTCACCGCGCAATCCAGCTTAGCCAACTACGCTAGAGAGCCAGGCAAGGGTTGCAGCTTTAAAGATTGACACCAGTTGACTCCGAGCCATTCTCCATCTGTGAAGCTCCACATGTCCTGTTGAACCATTATATGACACAAATATAAGGGCATCCTATGACTCCAAAATAACATGCCATAATATGGGGATGGGGTTGTGTTATTCATTCGTGTTTATGCTGCTGCAGTGAGGCTATGCCAAAATATACAAGAGAGAAATGGAACATTTTACGAAGATAGAGCGTAATTGGGCTTTTATTCATGCTTTTTTCACCTGTGACACGGGCTAGTCGTTGTTAGAGGGGTATCACCTTGTCTTGTGTTCGGGAAGAGGTTTTATGTTGTGCGTATGTAGACTGCGAGCTACGCAGTGTGCTCTAGTTGTTGCTGTGAGCAGGCGGGGATGTTGCGTATATTACGGAGTTCAGGTACGACATGGCTTTAGGTTACCTGTCAGTGTTGATGCGCGAAAAAGAGGAGAGCATTGCTTGTCTGCAGCGAGCCAGGATGTTAATTTGCAGCAGAAAATGTTAATAATTCTAAAACTATGGCACATACTCTGGACTCTCTGGTGGGACCTAGGCTATAGCTGTGGCATAGGTGGGTTGACGTTAGGGGCCAGTTCTGTATGTTCTGGGGACGTTAAAAGCGGTGTCATCGTGTAGTATTGAACACACGAAATCGCTGCTGATATCATTGGAGACGAGACGATGTGACACCCAACTAACATAGACTAGCCCTTGTCACAGGGGAAAAAGCATGGATGAAAGCCAGATTGTGTTCTGTGTGGGCCAGACTTCCTAAATTGAACTGAGAGAAACTAGTAAAAAATATTTGCTCTCTCTCTCTCTCTCTCTCTCTCTCTCTCTCTCTCTCTCTCTCTCTCTCTCTCTCTCTCTCTCTCTCTCTCTCTCTCTCTCTCTCTCTCTCTCTCCCCCTCCCTCTCCCTCTCCCTCTCTCTCTCTCTCTTCCTCTCTCTCCCCCTCTCTCCCTCCCTCTCTCTCTCCCTCTCCCTCCCTCTCCCTCTCTCGCCCCGCAGGCCCAGTGTTTGCAAAAGGGAACCATGAGCTAAAATATTTTTGAAGTTACGTAACAGTATATGGGTATTTTATGATTTTTGTTTTTATGTCACTTCTTTCTTCATCATCATCATCCATAAGTGCCTTGCTGACAGGCATGGGTGATCATACCTGTCCATAATCTGTGATCCGCAACTGAGTATATCAGTTTGTGTGTTGACTGTCAAGAATCTCCTCCCGCTGTCTTTCCCTGTCTTTGTTTCCGCAGATCTTTCCAGCAGTCCCAACATGTTCCATTTTTCCTCTTCTCATAACATGACCAACAAAAAATGACTGTCTCATTCTTTCTGATGTTTGTGATAAATTGTCTTCGAACACCTGCCTCTTTCAAAATATCTTGGTTTCTCTTTTTAGCTGTCCAACGAATTCTAAGGATTCTTCTGTAAAAGCATGAGGTCATATTCTTTGGCTTTGTTTATTAATTGCCCAGGTTTCACAGCCCTATGTTAAAACTAGCTCTATGTAGCAATCAAGAACACTTTTCCTAACCTCCAAAGACATGGATTTATTGCACAAAATGTTCTTCATTTTATAAAATGCAGTTTTGGCCTGTGTTATTCTGTTCTTTGTCTCTATGATACATCTTCCATGGGATGTTATCCATGTGCCTAGATACTTAAATTTCTGTTCTTGTCCTAAAATAACATCTGTGACTTTTATTATACATTTGTTCCCTACAGGACCAAATTAGATACCTATACTAAGTTAATGCACAAACCAGTTGTGTTTGTGTGTCTATGCACAGGCATGTGTGTGTGTGTGTGAGAGAGAGAGAGAAGGTGTTGTTGATCCTGTTGTTTTCATTTGTGTATTTTTCACTTATATGTTGTAATGTTTTCTGTGGATATGTATACTTGTGTATGTATATGTGTGTGTATGTTTGTTTCATTTCTGTATTATGATGCTTTGCGTATATGCATGTGTTTCAGTTATGTGTTGTAATGCTTTGTGTAAAGTTTTGTGTGTATAGTGTTGCAGTTATGTGCTTTATATGTTTTGTGTGTGTATGTAGGTTGTGTGTGTTTATATGCACTGACTCCACTATCCATTGTCTATAGTACCTTTTGGCACATCCGCCACTGATGGTGTTGAATCAGCACAACACCCTAGAACTCGCATTGCCCTCAAAGACCAATAGGACAAGACAATCGCAGCTCACATTTTGCTATGACAGGAACTTATCCCTCCAAAAGAGAATTTGTATTATCAGTCTGACAATGCATCCAGACCTGCCTCTCTCCACTCTGGAGTTGAGATTGGTTTATTTCTCTCTCAGCGCTCTGTATAAGTGCTTCTGTCATAGCATTTCATTCCCTCTGTTCTCCACAGGCACCCTATAATATTTGCAGTTTATTAGTAATTTGTTTTAGTTGTTCTTCGTACTTCTGCTCCATACAGCAGAATTAATTTGACTTTAACATTAAATAGTTGAGAGATTAGCAGAGATTTATTTATTTCCTTCCACAGATTTCCTGACCAGTGTCATGCATTTTTAAAAAAGCTCATTTATCCTTCTTTATTTTCAGCAATGATTGCAAGTTCTTCTCACAGATTTGTATCCTTTTCCCGCCCTTAGTGTAAGCTGTGCTTGAATCACATGTTTATCATCTTTGAAGTGTTGTTTAGTAAACTTTCTTGATGGATGGGACACTAAACCGTTTGTGACCTTAGCTACGACAGCCTTATAGAATTTTGTTAGTAGAAGTCTCATTTCTAGCATCTCAATTTAACCTAACTTCATTAGTGTCATTGTTTGACTTTTCACTAAAGCTGCAAGTTGTTATGATACAAGTTTTTTTTTAAAAACAGCCTATTACATTTTTGTGCTGCGGAGTGGTTTTATAAGCAAATGATGAGAATACCCTAGCAGCACTGAATTCCATCGGTAACCTGAGGCAGCGCTGACCCAGGCATCATACTGCCAGTCCTTTTCAGGGCAAGCAGTTCTCTCCTTGGGGGCACCAACTGGCCAATCAAACCCACCCTAAACCGCCGCAACAGCTGAACAGCCATCCCTAAGATCCGGAACGCGGAGCAAAAACAGCCAGATTCGAGAGCAACCCAACGAGAAGACTCCTTAACAAAACTCAAACGATAGGAAATTGACAGCACAAACAAAAACCTGATTTGATGACAGCCCGACCTATATGTAGCAGAGAGCAGCCATGTTTTCTGCCCTTTAGCTGAAAGTGGTGACGGTTAATATTGAATTGAATGGAATGCCCTAGACAGATGCCATAAGAAGGAGGAAACTGTAGTACACAATAATGGCAGGAAAGTTCGAGGGGTAAAGAGGCAGGAGAAGATGCTGGACAGTTTGACATCAAAGTATGGAAGATCATCTGTGTCAGAACTGATTGAATAGTAATACACGAGACAGAATGATATGAATGAACTTGACTTTCAATGCCACACAGTGCAAACTTTAAGAAGAAGGTCTACCAGAATAATTTTCTTAAAAGCTAAGAAATCAAAACTGCCAGTACCAGTCTTGCACTTCCTACTGGTTTCTGATTTTGGAGGAAAAGAAGAGCTCTGCAGCTTAGGTCCTGTGTTGAAAACCCAGACCTGGGGAAAGTGATGTAGCAGCAAGAATCTGTTAGCTGTAGGTGCCACTTCAGACTCAAGGAGGGTTTGCAATTTGCAAGGTGAGTAGTTAACCAGATGACAACAGATACCATCAGTGTAGAGACTTGTTGCTGTTGAGGAGAGAGGCAGAACTAATATGGGTTGATCTTGAATACTATGATGTCAGATCTGTACCCAGATGATCCCAGCCAGGCACAGTCAGGCAGGCAGCTTTGTAACTCCAGTGTATGTTTTACATGTTGAGTGGGCATCTGGGGGACACTGTTTTTGAATTAAAAAATGGTTGTTGCCTGTATTTACTGCTTGCTTTATAAGGTAGCGTAGTGCAGAGGGAGAATAGTGCTTTGTTATATGTAGTGGAGAAAAACACTTTGTTTTATTTATGCTTTATTATCTATGCAGGGGAGAAGAACACTTTATTTTACATAATGGGAGAATAATGCTTTATTATATATTGGGGGGGGGGGGGGCTAACACTTTGTTTTATGTAAAGGGGGAGGGGGGGGGGGAAGACTGCTTTGCTATATGTAGAGGTGAATAACACTTTGTTGCAGGACTGCAGTTCAGTAGTGGACGAGCAACCAGAACCTTCCGCCAGAGTTTACAGCTGGTGAACGCGAAGAAGAAGAAGAAGATATAAGGGAAGAAGAATGCTTTATTTTATGTAGGGGGGGGGATAGTGCTTTGTTATATGTAAGGGAAAAATAAAACTTTTGTACAGAACAGGCATCATTACTCATTTTACACTTGTGGAGCTTTTGAGGAGGAGTTCGGAGCAGCTATGGATCTGCCTGGAGTGCTGTGATGATAGTCTACACTGATAACGCGGTAGGGAGAGAATAATGTTTTGTTTTATATAGGGGGGGGGGGGGGAGTTGGTGAAGTGATGTTCACCCCTATCAGAGCCACACAAGGGATAAAGACCCAGTGACACAAAATGCCACCGTTCTGATGAGAATCTCTCCGGTCACATGTCCCAGAACCCCCTCCCCCGTTCAACCGTTAGGTTACATTAGAGCACCCACGACAGGCAGGGTGGGGCTTTAAAATAACCAAAATTTTCAGGAAACAAACCAGCACGAATATTAAGGTTGAGAAATTGTTGTTGCCTCACACATCCCTCACCCCTATCTTGCATTGGACCATTTTATGGCATGATTATCCTTAAGCCTTTCTAGATCCTGTTGTGGTCATTCCATCAACATTTTTCATAGCAGACACAGGGCTTCCATTGGAAGTGATTGCTGAGTGCAAGTCACACGAAGACTTCCTAGCGAAAGTGAAGAATGCCGTGGAAGTAAGTTCCCCTGTCTGTACATTCATGTTTTTCTCCTCGCTAAGTGAGTGTATTTTTCTTTTGCGGGACATTTCCATGTTGCGAAGGCTTGTGTGGTGTTTTGTAAGTAATTCGAGTACCCATCAGTGATGGTAACTAAAGAGAGCTGTACTTAGGTTGTTACTATATTTGAAAGTACATGTATGTGATATTTATATGAGGGAAGAATATTGCTTTTTTTTGGGGGGGGGGGATGCTTTGTTTTATATAGGGGGAGAATAAACACATTGTTTTATATAGAGGAAAAACAATGCATTAATTTGTTTTAAGGAGAAGTGTGTTGTGAATTATTTAGAAGGTGAACAATGTTTTTGATTCATATAGAGGGAAAACAGTGCTTTTTTCATATAGATGAAGAACCATGTTGAATCCTTTTTAATATTTTTAAAAACAGGCATAATAGAGATTAATAACTATGACTGGCAGGCAAGATTGTGCTAGCACTTGTATTGCTGCTGCCTTTATAACAACAGTGAAGTTGTCCCCTTGTGGGATGTAATTTTTTATTATTTTGAAGCCCCACCCTGGCTTTTGCCTGGGGCCCTGAATATAGCTGGGCCATAAACATGGCCTAGCCGTAGATATTCCCTAACAGCTGAAAGGGGTTTCTGGGACCTCACCACGGGTGATCCTCATCCGCATGGTGGCACTTTGTGTTGCCGAGTGTTTATCGCTTGTGTGATGTCCTGGTGGGGTACAACTACCTACCTACCTGCTGCCTTCATCATAATCATAGGCACATCTGAAGAACCATCAAACGTCTGGCCCACCTTATTTGGCACAGAATGTTGAATTAAGAATCGACATCACAGAACTCCAGACATTCCCATAAGCCATCTGTCTACATCTTCAGCAGCAGGCGCAGAGTTCCAGCGTCGATGGTACCAGTAACAGTCTGATTGTATATCCATCTCCGCCTTGCCCTTGAGTGTTGAGGATCAGCCAGATCCCTTGGGCACTGCCCACTGTGCCATTCTCCTCAGACTGCGATGATCTGTTTGTGCCACTGCATTGTCCACTGTGCCGTTCTCCTCAGACTGCGATGATCTGTTTGTGCCACTGCACTGTCCACTGTGCCATTCTCCTCAGACTGCGATGATCTGTTTGTGCCACTGCACTGTCCACTGTGCCGTTCTCCTCAGACTGCGATGATCTGTTTGTGCCACTGCATTGTCCACTGTGCCATTCTCCTCAGACTGCGATGATCTGTTTGTGCCACTGCACTGTCCACTGTGCCGTTCTCCTCAGACTGCGATGATCTGTTTGTGCCACTGCACTGTCCACTGTGCCGTTCTCCTCAGACTGCGATGATCTGTTTGTGCCACTGCACTGTCCACTGTGCCGTTCTCCTCAGACTGCGATGATCTGTTTGTGCCACTGCACTGTCCACTGTGCCGTTCTCCTCAGACTGCGATGATCTGTTTGTGCCACTGCACTGTCCACTGTGCCGTTCTCCTCAGACTGCGATGATCTGTTTGTGCCACTGCACTGTCCACTGTGCCGTTCTCCTCAGACTGCGATGATCTGTTTGTGCCACTGCACTGTCCACTGTGCCGTTCTCCTCAGACTGCGATGATCTGTTTGTGCCACTGCACTGTCCACTTGCTGCCAAAGAATCCTTACAACGTCCAGCTTATCATACTTCAGGTTGTTCATAACCAGCCAGCCTGTCTACTTGTTCATTTCCCAACACTCTCACATCTGATCCTCTGTGCCTGACTGCTGGCAAGTCTAATTGGTTTCAGTTGTAACCACAGTCCATTAGTCCAGTTAAGGTCTAGTGAAACATTTTGGGGTGTCCACTGTCTATGTAAAATATTGACATCATATTGGTAGTAAATATTGGCTGAAACAACTTTTTTTGGTAACCAGAGTAGGAATTTCATTGTCACATCTTCATACCCCTTGCTGATAACCATAAACAACTGTGGTTTGTCTTCTCGTGTGATCACTGTATTCATAGATCATTTTGATGTCTAGGTTCTTGTGCTTGTCTGTAATGTGTGAATTCCTGGGGAAATCCCAGAGAGTTCCTTTTTTGGGGGACAAGGTCAGAGGACCAGTGAAACAAGAAGAAAGCGAGATACGCAGGTCACGAGTATCCCATGTTGGGTTAATAGAGGTACGGGGAAAGCGTGAGACTTAAACGGAAGATGTGAACCCAGAGAGGATAGGAAGTCTAGACCTGGATGTGTGCGGTCGAATGCGAGAGAACAGCTGAGAAGAATGCAGGCCGTCTGACCACGTGTATTGGTTGGAGAGCAGAAATGAATGTCTCCTGACTGCAAGTTTCGAGTGTGTACAAGTACAAAGTACAAGATGTTAGCCTGATCCAGATGTATGATCCGAAAGGTAATGGCAGATTGAATCACCGTGTGAGAGAGTTGTCATCAGGAATTAGCCATGCGTAGCAACCCTGAGAACACAAGAGAGCGCATGGACAGTACGCTTGTTGGAACAGCGACTAAAGATCAATAACTGAGTGTTCATTGTCTGGTGTACTCTTAGTAACTGTGTGTACCTAAGAACGTCAATATAGCAATGTGACGAGTTCAGTCAAACCCATAGGAGAGCTACATTGCTGTCCCTCTGATGCCATGGTTTTTCATGCACACAGATGCAGAAGAGAGCAACAAGTTCCCAGGCTTCACATTTAGCACAGCAGCCACAGGCAAGCACAGGAGCATCCCCAGTGGTGGCTTCAGCTGCTGGCGGTAGTCAAGGTATGAGCGTCCCAAGTGGTAGAGTTGATGTTTGTGGTATGTGGGGTCCTGGTGTTGTTATGTCAGTACCTTTTTCATGTCAAGCCCTAGCCTTTTGCCCCATAAATTGAAAGTATGTGGGGGGGGGGGGGGGGTGAGCCATGAATTTCCACACAGAAACAAATCCTTCAAAAAATAATTTTGCAGTCTTTACAATATTACAGTGTTCCAGTGTTTAAGAAAATGTATTTGTGGCAGGAAATACGTGTTTGTGGCAATAAATGTGAGTTTGTGACAGGGAATTTGTGTTTGTGGCAGGAAATATGTGTTTGTGGCAGGGAAATTGTGTTTGTGGCAGGGAATTTGTGTTTGTGGCAGGGAATTTGTGTTTGTGGCAGGGAATGTGTGTTTGTGGCAGGGAATGTGTGTTTGTGGCAGGAAATTTGTGTTTGTGACAGGGAATGTGTGTTTGTGGAAGGAAATGTGTGTTTGTGGCAGGGAATTTGTGTTTGTGGCGGGAAATATGTGTTTGTGGCAGGAAATATGTGTTTGTGGCAGGGAATGTGTGTTTGTGGCAGGGAATGTGTGTTTGTGGCAGGAAATTTGTGTTTGTGACAGGGAATGTGTGTTTGTGGAAGGAAATGTGTGTTTGTGGCAGGGAATTTGTGTTTGTGGCGGGAAATATGTGTTTGTGGCAGGAAATATGTGTTTGTGGCAGGGAATATGTGTTTGTGGCAGGGAATATGTGTTTGTGGCAGGGAATATGTGTTTGTGGCAGGGAATATATGTTTGTGGCAGGAAATATGTGTTTGAGACAGGAAATGTGTGTTTGTGGCAGGGAATATGTGTTTGTGGCAGGAAATATGTGTTTTTGGCAGGGAATGTATGTTTGTGGCAGGAAATGTGTGTTTGTGGCAAGAAATGTGTGTTTATGGCAGGGGATATGGGTTTGTGGCAGGAAATGTGTGTTTATGGCAGGAAATGTGTGTTTCAGACAGGAAATGTGTGTTTATGGCAGGAAATGTGTGTTTGTGGCAGGAAATATGTGTTTGGGGCAGGAAATGTGTGTTTATGGCAGGGGATATGGGTTTGTGGCAGGAAATGTGTGTTTGTGGCAGGAAATATGTGTTTGTGGCAGGAAATGTGTGTTTATGGCAGGGGATATGGGTTTTTGGCAGGAAATGTGTGTTTATGGCAGGAAATGTGTGTTTGAGACAGGAAATGTGTGTTTGTGGCAGGAAATGTGTGTTTGGGGCAGGAAATGTGTGTTTGGGGCAGGAAATGTGTGTTTATGTCAGGAAATGTGTGTTTGAGACAGGAAATGTGTGTTTTTGGCAGGAAATATGTGTTTGTGGCAGGGAATGTGTGTTTGAAATGTGAAATATGTATTTGTGGCAGGGAATGTTTGTTTGAAATGTGAAATATGTATTTGTGATGTGAGATGTCTTGATCTGCCCATTGTGCCCAGATGTGAATGAGGATGTAGATGGTGCTGTTGCTGCAACAAGGAGTGGGAGTGGTGATGATGAGGTCCCTGAAGACACAGCTGACACAGAACAAAGTTTAGAAGACAAGGTCGAAAGGTTAGTTCTGTTCATTTTAAGCTTGTTTTATGCAAACCATTCACTAATGCCAAATATGGACATTATCATAGGCTCACCTGTATTAAATTAGTTAACACCTGTAATTGAATGGTTAATCCCAGACAAACAGGTTATAGGAGTCGACTAATTGGTTGCATCCTTTGAAATTGTAGTACATATGTAGGCCTAGTGGAAATAGAGGTCTGACTGAAACTGTATATTTAAAATCCCATCTTCTACTTCCTCTTTATCTCCACCACTGCCGTATCTTTAGTCATCAACCCTTAGTGTACCTGAGGCATCCCCTTAAATACTAACTCCAGTATTTAACAGTTTGGGAGACAGATGTATTGTCTCAGACACGTAGATATGTGGTTTCAAGGAAGATAACAGCGAAAAATAATTTGTTAAAATTACCTTTTCAGTGGAAGTAAAAAGGAAAAATATTCAGAGGGATATAACTCCAGTAAAAGTTTACTTTTACTGATTGTCACAATAAATAAAGAAATGCGCAATAACTGGGCCACTGGTGTGACTTTAAATTAAACATTATAGTCATCATGGCAATGGAAATTTAACCCATGTATTGGTCATGGTTTGGGAGGAGTTAACACTTCATTTGTTATAAACACACAAAATACAGAGAAGGGTTTGTGATTTATAGAGTGTGTGTGTGTGTGCACGCAATCAAAAATCAAAATATTCCAGTTCACAGACATCGACTTATTAGGAATTTCCTACAAAGATAAAATAGGGAAATTGCTGGGACTAAACAGGTCATATCGACTTAAGTGAAATTCGTCTTATCAGAGTTCGGATTATGTGGACTCGACAGTGTGTGTGCATGTGTGTTTGTTTTCTTTTTAACCTTCTTGTGTTGTAGAATAGTCACTCTGTGTCATAGAAGCCCAGAAGGAAAGCAAAGAATAGTAACACTAGCTAACACTGTAGCCTGTCATAATATGCCATTAAGGAGGGTTGGTACCAGACAGGCTATCTGAACCTTCCTAAACTGTTTGCTGCTATTCCTGCCTGTTGTGAACAAGTTGTCGCTGGGACTGGTCTGGGAAGTTGAAGATTTATGCTCCAATAGGAGATGAAAGTCAGAGCAAGAATTTCATCCCAAGATAAGAAGTTGATAAAATCAATGCTTCTTGTAATTTCCTGTTTAAAAATTTCACTGTCTTGACCTGAGCAGTTATCTTACTTACTCTTATAAACTGACAGTTTTTGTTTTGTGTGTGTGTGTGTGGGGGCCTGCATACTATTTCTGAAAATGTCACTCTCCATGTGCACTTATGGTCAGTCTAGTTTGTTTTCTTATCTAGAGTGCCTGTTGTATTTTATTTGGTATATCCTAGTTTCAAAAGTAAGTAAAGGACCCTTTTCCATGCCTTTTAGGCTATTGGGTCTTTAGGGCTAGACCTGTATTTTATAGAACAAATGGCACTTGGTGGGTGATGTTGTTAGCATCATGCCGGCTGCCTTTACTTCCCAGAACTATACCTGGTACCCGCTCAAGGCTGGGTTGACCTGGGAGCCAAGGTCATTTTTTTTAAAATCCGGCCCTTGCCAGGAATCGAACCCATGACCTTCTGATCCGCAGGCGAGTGTCTAGCCACTAGACCATGCCGACTCATTTATATCCTAGTTTATTTGACTAATTAGTAGGGAAAAAAAATCACCCTCACCTCACATGGAACCATCCAGTCTGTAGGTAACAAGATCCTCTACTCCGTCCCTCAGCATGTAGCTGGTAACGACACCTGCTCAATCAATTTACTGTTCTAATTTTGTTTTGTAATAAGTTCATTAGCTTTATAGTCTTATAGTCATTGTACATTTGTTGATTTTATTTTGTTAAAAACGTATGCTTTTCTTGTTTTTTACAGAGCCAAGCAACTGGTGGAAAAGAAACGAGAAGAGAAGGTTAAAAATGAGGCTGAGGTAGATATATGATTTAAAAGTGTAATTTTTTTTTTTTTTTTAAATAATTTAGTATCTGAAAAATCTACTGAAATGTGCGAGTTCCAGATCCCTGTTTTGGGAGAGAGAAAAATATAACCCATACAAACATGCATTCTCTTGGTCTTTCTTTCTTTCTTTTCTTTCTTTCTTACTTTCTTTCTTTCTTTCTTTCTTTCTTTTTTTCCTTCTTTTTTTCTTTCTGTCTCTCCTTCCAGATCTCTCTTGCTATTTCATATCACTGCTGTAAACGAACAAATCATAAAGAGCACGCAGCTGTGACATGTTATTTTATTTGGATCTGTTTGCAGGAGGAGCGACGGCGAGAGGTGGAGAGAAGAACTACCGGGCGTAGTGTACAAAAATTGCATCAACAGCAAAGAGAAATGGAGATGCTGGAGGCAAAGATGGAGTTGAAGAAGGATAGAGAGGAGGAGAAACTTGCACGGAAAAGAGTCAAAGAGGAAATAGAACGGGACAGGTAACAATACTTGCTGCAACTTACGTTATAGATTTGTTCTGTTGTTTATTATCCAGTTGCGTACTGGCTCTCACCCAGATCTTACCATATCCTCCTGTACTTTGCTATATTGTGCAGTTCTCCCCATGTCCTCCTGTACTTTACTATATCATGCAGTTCTCCCCATGCCCTCCTGTACTTTACCATATCGTGCAGTTCTCCCCATGTCCTCCTGTACTTTACCATATCGTGCAGTTCTCCCCATGCCCTCCTGTACTTTACCATATCGTGCAGTTCTCCCCATGCCCTCCTGTACTTTGCTATGTTGTGCAGTTCTCCCCATGTCCTCCTGTACTTTACCATATCGTGCAGTTCTCCCCATGCCCTCCTGTACTTTGGCATATTGTCAGTTGTCCCCCATGCCCTCCTGTACTTTGCTATGTTGTGCAGTTCTCCCAGTGTCCTCCTATACTTTGGCATATTGTCAGTTGTCTCCCATGCCCTCCTGTACTTTGCTATGTTGTGCAGTTCTCCCCATGTCCTCCTGTACTTTGGCAAATTGTCAGTTGTCCCCCATGCCCTCCTGTACTTTGCTATATTGTGCAGTTCTCCCAGTGTCCTTCTATATTTGGCATATTGTACAGTTGTCCCCCATGCCCTCCTGTACTGTGCTATATTGTACAGTTGTCTCCCATGTCCTCCTGTACTGTGCTATATTGGGCAGTTGTCCCCCATGCCCTCCTGTACTGTGCTATATAGTACAGTTGTCTCCCATGTCCTCCTGTACTGTGCTATATTGTGCAGTTGTCCCCCATGTCCTCCTGTACTGTGCTATATTGTGCATGAATGTTGCCCTTGTCAGAACATGCCTGAAAGTTTCTCATTCTCTAGCCAATTCTCCAGCCCTGTGTACTTTCAAAGACAGAGTGAACGTCCTTGACTCACAGCCATAAGTTGCCAGGGGAAAGTACTACTCAGCTTCCCAAAAATACCCAGTCGTGAAAGATAACATGAACATTGTGGTTAGAAAACCTCAATCAGTTGACAACACACATGGACAGTCATACAGCTGCAGACTAGAATACATCAAAAAAGCTGCACTTTTCAATGAAGCATGTCTCCTTGTGGGTTCTGAGGTCCCATCATGGGGAAAACAAGAGTAGACCCACTGCCTCCCTAACAAGCATGTTGTAGAAGGTGACTTCTTCTTCATGTTCACCAGCTGTAAACTCTGGCGGAAAGTTCTAGTTGTTCATCCACTTCTGGACTGCAGTCCTCTTCCAGAACCTGAGTGTTGTGTGTGCATCCATTTTACAGATCTGACTCATTTGTATGCAGACTGCTGGTTCCTTGCCTCTCAGGAAGATGCACTCCGTCTTCAAAGGAAGCTCCCAATTAGTGGACTCTTACGACATGCTTTTGGATAGGCCGTGGGTCTATTCTTGTTTTCCCTATAATGGGGCCCCGGAACCCACACGGGGATAGAATGTGACTAACTGGGAGCTTCTTTCAAAGTCAGAGTGCATCTGCCTGAGAGGCAAGGAACCAACAGTCTGCATACAAATAAGCAAGATCTGCCAAACGGATGCACACGCAAAACTCAGGTCCTGGAACAAAGCCGAAGTCTGGAAGTGGGAGCACAGCCAGGTCTTTCCGCCGGAGTTTACACTTGGTGAATGCAAACAAACACTAAACAGTGAAGCCTGTCAGAATATCCATCCACACTTGAAAAACAAAGATGTGTTGAAGCGTACCGTTCCTAGGAGTGCACATTAGCAGTGTTTTTGGAGGGTTGAAGTGGCATGCAGTGAAGGAGCTCCAATACATGCTAACCCCTTATACACACTAACCCCCTCCACACACACAGATGTACACAAAGTGATTCAAAAGCACATTAGGTGCAGTCTGTGAAAAGCTTACAATAGCACGTCAGTCAGTTTTCATGTCGGTTTTATCTGTGTGTTTTTTTTTTCCTCTCATCATTTAGAGCAGAGAAGGCTGCTAGATTCAACAAGGAGAAAGATGAGAAGACAAAGCTTGCAGAAGAGGCCAAGAAAAAGAAACTTCAGGAACAGCAAGCTGCATTAGCAGAAGAGCAGGCACGAAGGAGGTGAACTCTTGCTCGTTGTTTTGTTAAAGGGGTCCAGTGTTGGCAGATGTGAAATGAAACAGCCCACTCACATTTGTCCTCTTCTCTTGCGTCCTTGATTCCCACATCAATGTATAAGCGTTCATTTAACTTATGCATAGCTGTCTGTCTCTCTGTCTATCAAAAAATCTCATGGAATTTGGTCTGACTGCATTATCACTAGATGGCTTCCCCGTGTGGGTTCCGGGGCCCTTTTTTTTTAAGGGAAAACAAGAATAGACCCACTGCCTACCCAAAAGCATGTCGTAAGAGTCGACTAATTGGAAGCTTCCTTCTAAGTCGGAGTGTATCTGCCTGAGAGGCAAGGAACCAGTAGTCTGCATACAAATGAGTCAGATCTGTAAAACGGATGCACATACAACACTCAGATTCTGGAACAGGACTGCAGTCCAGAAGTGGACGAACAACAAGAACTTTCTGCCAGTGTTTACAGCTGGTGAACAAAAAAAAGAAGACTAGATGGCTGTGTAAAAAAATCAATACACTTTCTGTTACTTGATTACTAGATGGCTGTACCAGTTCATTCTTTGTCTGTCAGTGTAGTTTAGACACAAGGGAAGGGAGACATGTAGTTATCTAAGCAATAGGGCTAACTTGTAGGTGACAGCATTTGCCTTCTTTACTCTGGCTTCTATCTCTATCAAGTCTTCCATCTTCTGTAAATATGTTTCCCTGAATAATCAATCCTTTTGTCTCCATGAAATACAACCTATATACCCACAATCTCCAGAGACACAATTGGATAACTGCATTCCATAAGTTTCTGTGAATATTTTTTTCAGTCTAAGTGTAATACAGTAGGGAACAGTATTTTTAAGACTTACTCCATACAGTAACGAATGGTGGTATATGCCAAGTGTGTGCCAGTCGTTGATAAAAACTAGAGGTACATTTAAACCATTGATTCATTGGCACCTTCTCTTCTTTCCAGACGATGGTGTTATATTACGCTATGAGGAGGCATCTCTTTCACAGCCTATGGCGATGGCGAGTGTGATTGGCAAGACCTGCCTGTGTTAATAAAAGTTGTCCACAATTATAGCATGGATTTCAGGACCGTTGTCGTCAGTATTAATATAACACTGACATTTTAAAAGAAATGAACTTGAAGGAAGATTGACTACTAAACAGCATTATGTCTCGGAAGCTGAAATATTTTGGTCATATCAAGCGCCACAGCGGATTGGAACAAATAATGACAGAAGACATTGTACATGAAGGAGGGGCAGGGGTTGACAAACAAGAAGATGGGCACAGGATATAAGTGACTCCTTGGATATGAAAGTGCATGAGGCGAGAGAGCTGGCAAGAGACCCAGTTTCTTTCATGCAGACCGTGATGAGAGCGACATTCTGCAAAGGACCTGCTACATGATGATTATGATGTTGTCAGTTTTTATGTTTAGTGTGTTTCTTCTCAGACGCTCAGCTTTCATCCTTTCTGCAATCCTTTCTTTTTTCATTCTTTCCCTTACTGATGTTCCCTGTCGACACAACACAATCCATGGCATTTTGTTCCCACGAGTCCACCTCAGTACCTCTATCATTCATGCCTCACTTGCACGCATTTTTATATCTAAGTAGAAGTCAACCTCAACATGTGGCGCGGTGATTTATGTCACAGGCGTGAGGGGAAGTTAAGTCCAACATGATGTGTATAAGGAGATACTCCGTACGTCACTCGGGCGCCAGTCCTTTACTATCCTGGTTGTACGGAACCTCACGCAAGACCCCTACAGCACGTCCTCGTCGTGCGCCACGGATAATGTCTCAAATGAGCATTAACAGAGCTGTCAGGGGATCTCGGAGTTTGGCGGCCCCCAGAGGTGACGTGTCCTTGTGGCTCTCACCAGCCCGCCCCCAAACGCTTGGGTGAAAAATGTTATCAAAACTCATTAGGAACATGAGTAGGTTCGACAAAAGCACAGCTAAAATCACAACCCTTGGTTAAAAGACTGCTGAGTAAAGAGAACATTGCTCAATGCTCATCCTCGGTTAATTCTCAGTGTCGTCGTCACCGCGCTGAGATGCAACACAACAGAAACCATACATGGGCTGGCCATCCTTGTGCATCCTCGGTTGGCCCTCAGTGTCGTCGTCACCGAGCTGAGGTGCACCACAACAGCAACCATCCATAGGCTGGCCAGTCACGTACATCCTCGGTTAACCCTCAGTGTCGTCGTCACCGCGCTGGGGTACACCACAACAGCAACCATCCATCGGATGGCTAAGCCTAAATGTCCGACAAAACTAGATCATACGGATCAAAATCTGACCATCAAAATTTGCACTGAAATGCAAAAGGCCGAATGTCCATACCCAAAGACCCCACTCGCCCGAGTGTTGGGACAAAACTGATAACGATATGCCTGATTCAGGATGTGAAATTCTGCCGGGCTAATGTACCTATCTGTGTGGTCACAAAAGTCCAAAACCAACGGGCTGCTCCCCGCTGACTTCCAGAGGGCGCAGCCCCTGTCGAGCGGGAGGCCTGATACGGTTGTGAGGTTAAGCAGGCATGTGCAGGACGTGACGATTCCTTGGGTGAGCCCAGAACCAGAGCGCCATGTGCCGGCTCTGCATGCATGGAAGCCTCCTTGGATGGTGGGGAATGCCCATGATCTGCCCCTGCCTTCCCTTGAGGGCCAACTGTTCCACAGGGGGTTGCCCCAAAGGGGTACTCCGGGGGCAATACCTGCGGCGAAGGAGACAAGGCGGACACCACACAAATCAGGCAGCCTCGACCCACACAAAACAATGGCCACAGTCACCCTAGAAATAGGCCTGACGTCTTCCTTCGAAGTCGGCGTACAGCTGCCCAAGAGGCAGGGAAATTAAAAACGGTTGTACACGCAAAAATCAGGTCCAGGTGAAGGCCAAAAGTCCAAGCGGACGATTAACCGGGACCTTCCACTGGAATTCACAGCCGGTGTTCGATGGAAAAAAAAAACCTCAACATCTTCTGCCCATCTTTAATTCACTATAGAGGATGTCCTTAGGGACTCTGCCATCCTCCATTCTCCATGTGGGACCCAGCCACCTGAGCCTTTTTAGACTTGAGTATTTAAGAAGACTTGAAATACCTGCTCTTTCCAATAGATCAGTGTTTGTGATCTTGTCCTGTCAGATAATGCCAAGTATTCTTCTTTGGCGTCGCATGTAAAAGCTGCTTAGCCATTTCTCTTGGTGAGATTAAGTTGACCAAGTTTCACTGCCAATAAGCAGAGTACTGTTTTGAACCATACAATGAACAGTTTATGCTAGAATTGCACCACACATTCTTGAATTGTATATATGTAACTTTTCCACCATAGATTACCGAAGAGTATGTTTACACACAGTGTTTATTATTGTATGATGCAAGTGTTACATGAGAACCACACCGCCTGGCACACTAGCGGTGCTAATGTAGTGGCTGGATACTCAGCTGCCAACCCAGAAGTCTAGGGTACAAATTCCCATTGATGTTGTTCACTGTTACCCTTTGGCTGATAGATTGATCCAACATAAAGTGGGTGCCTGGTGATGTCTTGGGAATAACAGCGGTGAGAGTCGTGTGGATATTTTGCCCGGGCCGTGCAGGCGTGTTTGCAGGTGGATAGGTTGGCTTGACTGAACCCCACTAGAGGTGTACTGAAAGTGCACGAGACAGAGGGGATCTCTGACAAGTAAAATAGAAGATATTGAGAACCTGTACCTAGGGATAATAATGCAGTGGGGAGAGTCTGGGGGACACTCAAGAATTTGGGGTGCACGGTGGGAAACCAGATACTGGGTACCATCAGTATTGAGGCTCTGGCTGTTAAAAAGGAGACAGAACAGGCTTGTCCTGAACGTTGTGATGTTGAATGAATCTTACCTGGAAGACCTATTTCTTCTTCTGTTGAGTTGAGTTGATTCAAGAACCGACATCAGAGCAAGCGGGGCATTCCCATTAGCGCTCCGTCCCCATCTTCAGCAGCCAGTAAAGAGTTCCGATACTAATAGTGCCAGTAGCATTCTGATTAAACGGTCGTCTTACCTTTCCTCTGAGCCTCGAGCATCTACCAGAACCCCTCGTCACTCCCCGCCGCATCCATCTCACCAGACTGTGGTGATCCATCTGCTTCTCTGAACTGTACACCCTCTCCCACAAGGCACTAACTACATCTGCCTTATCATGCATCAGTATTCCACCAAATTGTGCAGAGCCAGCCAGTCTGTCTGCCTGTTCATTTCCCAACACACCAGTAGTTCCCAGTGAAAAAAATCCAGACAATATTCCTCACCCGTGCCTCAGCAGTGAAACATGCCACTCTGCACGAAGCTTGCCTGTCCTGACTTTTCTCAGCATGCTTTCTGAGTCAGTTACAATCACGATGTGTGTGTGTGTGTCATGTTCTCTAACCAGCGGACAGCTGCAGTGACCACCTCCACCTCCATTCTTAAACTAGATGTTGTGGTATCATATGTTAGGCTCTCCTGCATCAAAACGTCGACCATTAACTTTTTGCCAAGAAACCCCATGCACTTCTTTTGCCGCTTGACACTGAACAGTCTGTGTAAATAATCAAATCCTCTGAGCGAGCATTATCTTGAATTAATTGCTAAATTTCCACCTCCGTGGCACCTGCTAGCCAGTCTTTGCATTCCCTACTCAGTGTGATTATGACCCTACACAAGTCTGACTGTTCAGGTGGCACTTTGACCCACTCCTCTCATCACCTAATGTTCTCAAGGATGCAAGCCTGTCTGATTGTGTCTTCTGCCTGAGCCATCCATGACCTCCCTCTTATCAGCCGCTGACCCTTAACTGTGCCCAGAGCTTCATGCAAAGGGTGATCTGTGTCTGCAGCTACCTTGAGATATGACTTCGCCTGCAGTACCTTGTGCCTACCTGCAACAGTCTGCAAACCAAGGATGTATCGCATACACACCACTGGGGTGTCTCTGGTGCAACCTAGAATAACCCGCATAGTTGTGTTCTGTCTTTCACAGCATACTAGTTAAAGGGGTCATGGGTCTGTCCCCCACATCTAAGGAATTGACCTTTGAGTGAAATGTACCAATGGCATTATATGGCCAATGCATCAAAAGTAGGAAAAGGATCTTTACTTTACCATTTACCCAGTAAACAGAGCTGGTTTTAACAAATGGTTTTGAATACTGGACAGTAAACAAGACATACCACTTCTTGAGTACTCACATGTGGTTTTCACAAAAAGAATGCTTAAAATTCCTTGGACAGCCAGAATGCTGATAACTTATCGCAACAGGAGATGTCAGTCAGTCATTTTATTTTCATATTATAAGAAGAGGGCAACTGGAACATGCTGTGACCACTGTTGTGATTTGTAGAAAGAGAAATAGAGGAAGACAGTGCAAGAAGATTCTTGATAAGACTGTTATCGTGGCATGGAGGGTTATCTCACCACATGAACTTATACCTGCTGTTGTGCAGGGGCATGATCACCAGTGCCAGACAGAGCATTTGATGATGATGTTACCCAGTATGCCTGAAAATTGTGAGCTGAGGTTCTTTGCGGGTTTTTTTTTTTTTACTTTATCTAACAACACACATTTTTATTTTCAGTGATACTGCCAGAATTCAGTTCCGAATGCCAGATGGATCTTCTGTGACACAGCAGTTTTCTGCAACAGATACTTTTGCCTCCGTGCATCAGTTCATTACCCAGGTGAGACAACTCTGTCTTCATTCAGTATGAGATCACTGTCTTTATTCAGTATGAGATCACTGTCTTCATTAAGTATGAGATCACTGTCTTCATTCAGTACAAGATCACTGTCTTCATTCAGCTTAAGATCACTGTCTTCATTCAGTTTGAGATCACTGTCTTTATTCAGTATGAGATCACTGTCTTCATTCAGTTTGAGATCACTGTCTTCATTCATTAGGAGATCGCTGTCTTCATTCAGTATGAGATCAGTCTTCATTCAGTATGAGATCACTGTCTTCATTCAGTAGGAGATCACTGTCTTCATTCAGTATGAGATCACTGTCTTCATTCAGTATGAGATCACTGTCTTCATTCAGTAGGAGATCACTGTCTTCATTCAGTAGGAGATCACTGTCTTCATTCAGTATGAGATCACTGTCTTCATTAAGTACGAGATCACTGTCTTCATTAAGTATGAGATCACTGTCCTTATTCAGTATGAGATCACTGTCTTCATTCAGTAGGAGATCACTGTCTTCATTCAGTTCGAGATCACTGTCTTCATTAAGTACGAGATCACTGTCTTCATTCAGTACGAGATCACTGTCTTCATTGAGTATGAGATCACTGTCTTCATTCAGTATGAGATCACTGTCTTCATTCAGTATGAGATCACTGTCTTCATTCAGTACGAGATCACTGTCTTCATTCAGTATGAGATCACTGTCTTCATTCAGTATGAGATCACTGTCTTCATTCAGTATGAGATTACTGTCTTCATTCAGTATGAGATCACTGTCTTCATTGAGTATGAGATCACTGTCTGTATTCAGTATGAATATGTTCTTCTTTCATCAAGAAAATTTATTCTTGTTAATTTTATGTAAATGTGTTTTTTAAAGAAAGTAAGACCATTTTTTTCTTCCACTATATATCAGGACTATTCAACTGGCCGCCCACAGAGGCCTAGCAAGTGGCTCTCCGATCGTTGCCAAAACAGCAGAGTGTAGTTTAAACATATATGCTATGTTACCTTGTGTTTTCCTGCCTTGCTATCTGAAAATATATTCTATAGTCTTGTACCCGACATTTCAGACACACACATAGTTAACTTACTACAAAGCCATGAACCCTGTGTGACATTTTCTTGTTGTCTTCTATCCTGACATTTCAGACACACAAATAGATAACTTACTACAAAGCCGTAAACCGTGTGTGACATTTTCTTGTTGTCTTGTACCTGACATTTCAGACACACACATGGTTAACTTACTACAAAGCCGTAAACCGTGTGTGACATTTTCTTGTTGTCCCCAGCATGTGGGCAGCCCGGTGACACTGTCAAGGACCTTTCCACGACGTACTTTCACCACAGAGGACCAAACCCTCACCCTACAGGAGCTGCAGCTAGCCCCATCTGCTGCCATCATGGTCATTCCGGTGAGTTTGCTGTTGTCTAAATGTTGGATGATAACATCAGTGTGTGTAACCTGACTAGACCTGCTGCCATCATGGTCATTCCGGTGAGTTTGCTGTTGTCTAAATGTTGGATGATAACATCAGTGTGTGTAGCCTGACTAGACCTGCTGCCTCCCCTAATAAGCATGTCATAAGAGGCAACTAATTAGGGTGCCTGAAAGGCAAAGAATCAATAGTCTATATACAAATAAGCCAGATGTGTAAGATGTGCACGCCAACTCAGGTTCTGGAACAAGACAAGATACAGATGTGGACAAACAATCAGAACTTTCCCCGGTGAATGCTCAGAAGAAGAAAGATAACATTGTTATTGCAGACCATTATTAACATTAGTGTGTATTGTTGTTGTTTGTTGATTGTATTATATTGCTATATCTACTATTGGTGCTGTTCATTAATAACAGAAATGAGGGTAAACATTGTTGTTGTTGTTCATTTAGGTTGGGTCATAATTGCTGCTGTTGTTTGTTCTTCCATTTTCATCCTCACAATGGCGGTTGTGTTGTGATTTACAACTAGACTGCAGTATCTGCACTTCTCAGCCCCACACATCCAGTGTCATCATCATCATCATGTGCCCAGCCAACTGGCGTAGGTGCTCAGGCATCTCCGCAGGTCATGATCGCTGGTTGCTTGAAACAGCTCTCTTGTTGATATCCTTCCATACCATCGCTTCAGCCCATCCACCATCATCTCTCTAGGTCTGCCTCTACCCCTTTTTCCACTGATCTTTGCATTTGTCACGATGTTCTCCAATGTCTCTCTTCTCATTATGTTGCCAAAGAATAGTGTTTGTCTCTTTCTTATTGTTGTATATAGAGATCTACTTTCATTAGCTTCTTTCAAGCATTCGTTGTTAGTTACTCTGGCCGTCCAAGGTATTCGTAACATTTGCCTCAGAAACCACATCTCTGTTGCTTCCAAATTCGTCCTAATTTGTTTAACATTCCAAGATTCGCTGCCATACAGCAGAACAGTTGCTGCCATACAGCAGAACAGTTGCTGCCATACAGCAGAACAGTTGCTGCCATACAGCAGAACAGTTGCTGCCATACAGCAGAACAGTTGCTGCCATACAGCAGAACAGTTGCTGCCATACAGCAGAACAGTTGCTGCCATACAGCAGAACAGTTGCTGCCATACAGCAGAACAGGTGCTGCCATACAGCAGAACAGTTGCTGCCATACAGCAGAACAGGTGCTGCCATACAGCAGAACAGGTGCTGCCATACAGCAGAACAGTTGCTGCCATACAGCAGAACAGTTGCTGCCATACAGCAGAACAGTTGCTGCCATACAGCAGAACAGTTGCTGCCATACAGCAGAACAGTTGCTGCCATACAGCAGAACAGTTGCTGCCATACAGCAGAACAGTTGCTGCCATACAGCAGAACAGTTGCTGCCATACAGCAGAACAGGGTGCTGCCATACAGCAGAACAGTTGCTGCCATACAGCAGAACAGGTGCTGCCATACAGCAGAACAGGTGCTGCCATACAGCAGAACAGTTGCTGCCATACAGCAGAACAGTTGCTGCCATACAGCAGAACAGTTGCTGCCATACAGCAGAACAGTTGCTGCCATACAGCAGAACAGTTGCTGCCATACAGCAGAACAGTTGCTGCTATACAGCAGAACAGTTGCTGCCATACAGCAGAACAGTTGCTGCCATACAGCAGAACAGTTGCTGCCATACAGCAGAACAGTTGCTGCCATACAGCAGAACAGGGGCTGCTATACAGCAGAACAGTTGCTGCCATACAGCAGAACAGTTGCTGCCATACAGCAGAACAGGTGCTGCCATACAGCAGAACAGTTGCTGCCATACAGCAGAACAGGGGCTGCTATACGGCAGAACAGGGGCTGCTATACAGCAGAACAGTTGCTGCCATACAGCAGAACAGGTGCTGTCATACAGCAGAACAGGTGCTGTCATACAGCAGAACAGGTGCTGTCATACAGCAGAACAGGTGCTGCCATACAGCAGAACAGGGGCTGCTATACAGCAGAACAGTTGCTGCCATACAGCAGAACAGTTGCTGCCATACAGCAGAACAGGTGTTGCCATACAGCAGAACAGGTGCTGCCATACAGCAGAACAGGTGCTGCCATACAGCAGAACAAGTGCTGCCATACAGCAGAACAGTTGCTGCCATACAGCAGAACAGGTGCTGTCATACAGCAGAACAGGTGCTGTCATACAGCAGAACAGGTGCTGTCATACAGCAGAACAGGTGCTGTCATACAGCAGAACAGGTGCTGTCATACAGCAGAACAGGTGCTGTCATACAGCAGAACAAGTTATATGCAACATTTTAGCACACATCCTGTGTCATCAGATCCTGAATGAGTCAACCTGTCAAGGAGCAGTTGTGCTGTGATATACCCTGTGTCATCAGATCCTGAATGAGTCAACTTGTCAAGGAGCAGTTGTGCTATGATATATCCTGGAAAGTAGAAGAGGTTGACATGGTATTGACCACATCATCCACTTAGTACTCTTGATTCTTGACAAATAAGTGGAACCTCAGGAAACACATTTAATCTGTCTCTTGACTGAGCTGATCTGGTGAAAAACTTCTATCCTGCAACTGTTGTTACCATTTAAATTAATGTATGTTATTTTCATTAGCTCTCCTCCTCGAAAAATTACACTTTGTTTCCCAATGAGTTTTTAATTTCTTTAGCAGGGAAAATGTGTGGGAGTGCTTTTTGGTTTTTTGTTTTGTTTTGCCAGAAGCAACATACGGCATTACTTCCAACCTTAATGTTACAGTTCGTCATCATCTTCAGGTGCCTTGTTGACTGGCTTCAGTCCTCCTTCGGCAGTGTTAGCATGACCTAATCCATTTAAAAGTTATCAAGATGCATTCGCCTACGGCCAAGAGTTCTCATGTCTTCAGCTCACATCTAGGAGTTTTGCCTGGTATTCTGGGGCGAAGAAATTGGCAAGCCTGACTTTGTATGCTGGAAATTTCCTGTCCAGGTATACTCATATCCTGAAGGTCTCACTGTATACGGGTCTAACACCACATACCCAAGCTCAGCATCTAGGGAAAGGATGAGACGGATATTCAATCAGACAGTTAATGATGCCATCGGAATAGGAACTCTTTACTTGTAGCTAAAGATAGGGATGGAATACTTATGGCAGTGTCCCAAGTGCTGTGATGTCGATTCTTAATTCAACATTCAAACCAAGCAGTAACGCTGCAACAAGGATTTTGTTGTGTTTGCAGAGATCGCCTGATTTTGACGTGGTGTTTAATTGTCTTTTGAACTTTTCGTCTGCAGGGAGGAGTTTCGACCTCTGTGGTCAGAAGTTCTAGTGGTATCTTCAGCTTCTCCGGCATCACTGGCCTTCTGCTGGCCCCAGTGTACTTTGTGTGGAATATCATTGGGTCACTTCTTGGCCTGTCACGGCCATCTTCATCTGGTTCTGCTCCTGCAAAGACGAGGTCAGCACCAACTTCTTCAGCTCGGGGAGGAGACAGAGATCCAGGGAGGTATGTGTGCAAACGTGGGGGAAATGTACTGTTTTTGGGGGGACCATATTACCATATATAGGTAGAGGAGCTACTGGCTGAGTAGTTAAGAGTGCTGGCTCTCATGCAGGAGACCCACTTGATGAAGTGAGGGACATTTTTCTGTCTGGGACTAAATAAAATCTGGACCTGCATAGTGTCCCTAGACTCCCCATGCTCAAGAATCCCCTCTCCCATCGGACACTAGCCTCTGTGTGGTAACTGCAAGCAGTAACCAGTGTTACTGAATGCCTGCAGCTCCCAGATCTGTTGTAACATCGTGGTGAATCCACACATTTTTGTTAATGTTTTTTCCCCCACTCCAAATAATATCTTACATAGTAGCATAGTAGATGTTATTTTTGTCTGTACATTTTAAACAAGCCAGGAGCATAGTAGATGTTATTTTTGTCTGTACATTTTAAACAAGCCAGGAGCATAGTAGATGTTATTTTTGTCTGTACATTTTAAACAAGCCAGGAGCATAGTAGATGTTATTTTTGTCTGTACATTTTAAACAAGCCAGGAGCATAGCAGATGTTATTTTTGTCTGTACATTTTAAACAAGCCAGGAGCATGTAGTTATGTTATTTTTCTCTATTTGTTTTTAACAAGCCAGGAGCATGGTAGTTATATTATTTATGCCTAGACATTTATTTATGCCTATACATTTTTAAGAAGCCAGGACTGTAGTAGTTACTGTTTTTCTCTTCTCATAACGGACCAAAAATTGAGAGCCTCTGCCTGATCAACATTTGTGACAAGGGGCATAAAATGGCTGCTGGGTATTCTTCACAGAACGAACATTAGCAGTGAAGAGAACTACCTAAAATAGGGAACAGGAAATGTCATGTGAAGTGAAAGGGGTCAGCGTGATATTCAGCATTTTAGCCACTGAGTGTCATTTGATCTGTATGTATCATCATCATCATCAGGTGCCTTGTTGACTGGCGTGGGCGATCTGCAGCATGTATCAGTTCGTGTGCCGACACACCTCCATGCCATGCAACAAGACTGTCAAGCATCTTCTCTCGTTGTCTTCCTCTATCCCTCCTTTCACAGATCTTTCCAGTGGTCACAACATGTTCTATTTTCCCTCTTCTCATAACATGGCCGAAAAATGATGACTGTCTCCTTCTGATGTCTGTGATAAGTTGTCTTCGGGCTCCCACATCTTTCAAAACCTTTTGGTTGCTCTTTTTGGCTGTCCAAGGTATTCTAAGCATTCTTCTGTAAAACCACATCTCCGAGGCCTCCGGAAATTGTTTGGCCTGCCTACCGATTGTCCAGGATTCACAGCCATATGTTAAAACTGGATGTATGTAGCAAGCAAGAATTCTTTTTGTAACTCTCATGTAAGTATACCTTCTTCTTCTCTTCTTCACTTCCTCTTTTACAGCTGTGGGTGTCGAGGGAGATATGAGGTTCTGTTTCTAGCTCTTCTGGCTGCCTCGACCATAGGCACATCATGCTGTAGTAGAGTTTCTCTGATGTTATCCTTCCATCTTGTTCTTGGTCTACCCCGTGCTCTACGTCCTTCTTCTCTTTCCATGTATGCTTTGTATGGTATGGTGTCACAAGGCATTCTCTCTAAGTGGGCAAACCATTTCACTTGCTGTCTTTGTATGTAATCCAGAATTGGTTCTGTGCCGACTTGTTCTCTTATGATCTCATTCCTGATCTTATCTCTTATGGTCACTCCTACAGCCCTTCTCAGGCATCTCATTTCCGTGGTTACTAATTTTCTTTTATGGTTTGTTGTGAGTGACCATGTCTGGCACTGGTAGCACAGAGTTGGAATAAATATGCTTTGAATAAGATGTCTCTTTGTGCTGATTGGGATTGTCTTATGCTATAAGAGGGGGGCTAGCTATCCCAATACTTGGTTTGCTTTACTGCATCTAATGTCAATTTCTTTATCCAATTTCCCATCTTCGGTAAATGTAGTTCCCAGATATTTAAACTCAGATGCCTGTTTAATGCCTTTGTATTCTATTGTTATGTTTAGATCTGTCTTTTTTTTTCCTATTGACATTACTTCTGTCTTTTCAGTGTTGGTTTTCATATTATTTGTTTTACATTCTTCATTCATGGATGTTAGATGTTGTTGCAATTTCATGGCTGTATCTGCTATCAAGGCCTGGTCATCTGCAAAGAGTAATTCGTTGATCTTACTAAGATCTTCATTCATGGGCTTGGCATTCTTGCATATACTGTCGATGTAGGTGATAAACAGCAGTGGTGATAAGACACACCCCTGTCTTATTCCAGATGTCACTGTGAAAGGATGAGATGTTCCCTGATTTATTCTAACTACACTTCTACAATCCCTGTATAAACTTTTGCACACTTCGATGAGGTGTTCACTTACTCCATATCTTGCCATTATTTTCCATAGTAATTGTCTGTCGACTCTGTCAAATGCCTTCTCCTGGTCTACGAATGCCACAAATAAGTTCTTATTGTATTCAATGTTCTTTTCTATTAACTGTTTAAGTGTGAAGATTGCATCTGTGCAGCTTCTATTTCTCCTAAATCCCATCTGTTCTTCTGCCAGCTGTGGTTCTATCACTGGTCTCAGTCTTGTTTCTATTATCTTGGCATACATTTTGCCAACATGGCTTAAAAGAGAGATGCCTCGATATTGACGGCATTCTCGTTTGCTTCCTTTGTTCTTCCACAATGGTATAACTATTGCACGTTGCCAATCAATAGGGGCCGTTTGTTGTACCCATGCTGCATTGAATATTCTGTGAAGCCATCTGATGCTGCTTTCACCTGCTGCTTGAATTATTTCTGTTGGTAATCTATCAGCTCCTGGTGCTTTATATTTGGGAGACTGTTTAATGACTTTTTCTATTTCACCCATTAGTATGTGTGGTTCTAACACTGTTGCTCTGTGCTCTTCAGTTGTTCTTTCCTGATGATCTCCTAGAGGATTAAAGATCTCATTGAAGTATTCCCTCCATCTTTCTGCTATCTCGGGTGGATCTATCAATGGCCTTCCTGTCTTATCATTAATTATTTCAGTATGTATACCATTCCCCAAATAATAATATTTCCCAAATAATAATATGTATACTTATGTATATATACCATTCCCCAAAAATGAACACATAGCTACTGAAAGGAACATAATTTTGACATTCAAAATCTGTGTAATTGAACGAGTGAAATTGTTCAAAAGGCACACAAGAATATCTTAGGTTTTGGCCAATCAGTTGACAGTTCTATTGTGTCAGGGTCATTGATAATGTTTAGGCCTGCTGGCTTTTCTGTCAACCAACAAAAATGTGCCATTGGATAACTATGTTTCTTTTTGTTTTGTTTTTGTAAGTTATATTGAAACAAATGAAGTTAGCATCCTTTGCCCAGTAAACCTCAAGGCACATAGGACATTCACTTACCGATCCTGCTATCTGTTAGTGTATGAGTCATTTACTTACTGATCCTGTTCTCTTCAGTGTATGGGACATTCACTTACTGATCCTTATTTCTGGTAATGTATGGAACATTTATCTACTGATGCTTATCTCTGTGAGTGTATGTGACATTCACTTACGGATCCTGCAGTCTGTTAGTGTATGGGACATTCACTTACAGATCTAGCTGTTTATTAGTGTGTGGGACATTCACCTACCGATCCAGCTCTCTGTTAATGTATGGCACATTCACTTACTGATCCTCCTTTCTGTAAACAATAACAGCAGCAGTAAAAATGTCTCTCTTCCTCTCCCCCCCGTTTTCAGCGCAGCCAAACGACCTGCATCCACCTCAAGACAGGAAGGCCCCATCACAACGGTTCCACAACGCAGAAGATGATAGTGAGGACGAGGACAGAGCCACATGGAACGGCAACTCCACACAACAGATGTAGAGATATATGATTGTCTTGGAAAGAAAGGGGGGGGGGGGGGGTGAAATTGTGAATATATTTTTTCTGACCAGACCAGTGTTGTTTGCACACACATCTCCCAGAACCCATTGCTGCACTGGTACTCAGTTTGATTATCACGTGTGGGTTCCTCCTATTTTTTTATTTTTGAAGTCTGCCACACACCCCAGACTATGTCATCCTCATACTTATTATTTATGGAAGCTGCCATGGTGTAGCATCTGGAGCTGTGTTTTCCCAATGTGGGGCCCATGCCCCAGTTTGATTTTTTTTGGGGGGGGGGGGAGAGAATTCAAAAATGGACTGGTTAAGAGTTTAAGTTACATAGGGGGCATAAGGAAAGCTTTGGTGGGGCCTGGCACAAGAAAAAGTTAAGAAACATTGCTCTAGAGCAGAGGTTCTCAACCTGTGGGTTGCTGACCCTTTTGGGGTGGAATGACTCTTTCACAGGGGTCGCCTAAGACCATCAGAAAACATATATTTTCTGAAGTAGCCACAAAAATAATGTTGTGGTTGGGGTAACCATGACACCAGGAACTGTATTAAAGTGTCAGGGCATTATGAAAGTTGAGAACCACTGGTCTAAAAGCCTGCCGGTGGATCCGAAGATCACGGTTGAAATCCATATATAGTTGCGCTTTTTTTGCTTTTTTAAAAGTGACTTTTGTTTCTCGGGTCGTCCCAACCTTAAATGAGTACCAGATAAAGTCCTGGGAAGCAAAGGCCCTGGCATGATGTTGTCATCACGCCTGAAGCCGTGGTTAAGGGTTCTTCACATGTAATTTATCATTATTAGAATCGCTGAAGAGAGGGCATTCTAAAGAGGAAGGTTGTTTTGTAAATCATATCACATTACCCTATGGGTCCACGGATCACCAAATGAGAAAGACTGCAACACTGCATTTTCTCAAATGGAAACACAGCAGAATACAACTTGTTTGTAGAAATGATAATTTGCAGTGGTATAGTGGTTAGTGACGCTTGCTAGCACAGTGGTGGAGGTTCAATCCCCAACAGAGGCTGCATTGTTTTGCTATCCGAACAGTACAGTTCTCGAAACCTGGTCCCTAACAAGAGCACAGGAGAAAAAGATCACGACGTGCGAAATGGGATGCTTACGTAAGGCTGCCAATGTCACAAGGAGAGACAGAGTTCGAAACGAGAACATTAGAGCAATTATAGGAACCACACCATGCCTGCAACACATAAAGAAGCAACAGAGTGGTTTGGCCACTTGATGCGAATGCAAACCGACCAACTGCCTCTACGAGCATACAACGAACAGCACTACTGCCCTAGAGCAAGAGGCAGACCGAGAGTACGATGGATAGACAATATATCAGAGATCCTGAGGCAACACGGACTAACAACACACCTGGCCCAGGATAGAAAACTGCGACTCCCCACTACGCTGTGAGGCAATTGTGGACAAGACAAGACAATTCTCGAGTCACCCTAGACTTATCACAGGGGGTATCAGATCATTTTCTGGTAATTGAGATGTAAAGCTAGTGAGGAAGGGAACTAGTATCTTACCTCCTACCTGATGACCTAGAATGTGTGAAGCCCTCACATCTCAAGGGCAGAAAGAGCTGTCGGTTTGCCTTTCTGTACAGTGTAGACGGGTCGCATCGTTTGAGCTATTTCACTGTCCATTGTTTTAAATAAAGGTCTATGGTTAAGCACCAGCAAGAAGATAAAAATTAGAATTTTAAGAGCATGCATCTTCCCTGTGGCTACATACGGATGTGAGTCGTGGACTCTCAGTCCTTAAGAAAGAGAATAGGGGCTTTTGAGCTGAAATGCTATAGAAAGATTCTCAGAATATCTAGGACAAAGAGGAGGAGAAATACTGACGTCTTGAAAGATCTGAACATCAAGGAAGATTGGCTATTAAACAGAATGTTGTTGCAGAAGCGACATGGCCTAGCCATAGATATGGCTATAACGGCTGAAAGGGGTTTCTGGGACCTTTCCACAGGTGTTCCTCATCTGCATGGTGACACTTTGTGTCACCGGATGTTTATCGTTTTTTTTTTTTTTTTGGGGGGGGGGGGGGGGGTGGTACCCCACCCTGTCACCGGGAACTCTAAATAAACGTAACAGTTTCTGGGACCTGTCCCCGGGTGATTCTCATTTGAGTGGTGGCACTTTGTGTTATGGGGTGTTTATCTCTCATTGTGAGGTTTCTGTGTGATTGAACATCAGTCATTACCCTTCATTGCTTTGCTTTGGTGCTGTCAAATTACTGAAAGCATTCAGTTTCTGTTGATTGCCATAACTCTTTTGTTGGGTAATATCCAGTGTCTTGTTTATACTTCACTGAAAAGTGTACACACTGGGACATTTCCAGAATGTTGCATGACTGTTTCTCTCTCAGATGGTTTTGTTGCGTTTTGCATGTTTCACAAACAGTAAAAATGAGAGTCCCATTTGTTGGATTTCTCTCTCACATACAAAGAGAAGTAGCTGCAGTATGTTGGATCTCTCTCTCTCTCTCTCTCTCACACACACACACACAGAGAGAGAGAGAGAGAGAGAGAGTTCAGGTACCTTGGATCTCTCTCATACATATAGAAGTAGAGTTCCAGTATATTGAATCTCTCTGTCTGTCTCTTTCTCACACACAGGAGAGTTGTACCTTTAGATCTCTCATACAAAGAGCAGTGGAGTTCCAGTATACTCAATCTCTCTCTCACACACACACACACACACACACAGACGGAGAGAGTGAGTTCAGGTACCTCGGATCTTTCTCAGAGCTCTGTAGTTCCAGCATATTGAACTTTGCAGCAAAAACAGATTCTGTTATAGAGGAGATTAACTGGCTGGTAATTGCCCCACATTTAGCAAGCTGGCTTGTTGCTAATGTTTGGATGCCAACCTTTCATTGTTGCTTTCATTAGAGGCTGTGTTTTTGTTATGCTTTTTCTGAAGATTATCTGATATACATAAATGCAGATGAGACATTTCCCAGTGCCACCAGTTCATTGGAGTTATTTGCCTCTGTTGAGGTATAAACAATTTATGTAAATTTATTTATGGTGGGGAGGGGGGCATATCTTTTCACAAATAAAGACCGGAACAAACTAATTCTTTCCAGCATTAACAATGTTTATATTTAGTTTCTGCTGGCAGCTATACTTCTCTGAGTATAGTTTTTAATTAAACAAAGGAGTAAACTTAAGATTTGTTGTCATTTTGTTTTTGTGTGGGGGTTTTGTTTACAATCATCTGTAGTCAGAATTAATTACATTTACATTTAATGACCATCAGCTTATTGATATGACCTCTCACACTCCCAACCAAAACACGAGCCCCGAGTCAAGGGCCATCCTCTTATTTGTAAAATACTTTGGATTAAATGAAGAGTATTCAGTAAAAAATGTTTGCAATATCTTTCTGTAACATGTTAGAATAGATGCCCAGACAGACTGGTTTGACATCAAGCAAGGAGTCCATCAGGGCTGTGTGCTGTCCCCTTATTTGTTTAACCTGTACACCAAAAATGTATCCAGAAATGTCAGAGAGGATATAACCAGAGAGCGATATGATGCTATAAATATCGGTGGTAATGAGATATGATATACCTATGATACAGTATTGCTATCCACATCACAGACTGGTATAAAAAACCTAAAAACCTCAACCCCAAAAAAAAAAAAACAGATAAAATCACAATTTATATCTTAACAGCAAAAACGATAATAATGCATGCAGATAAAACTACTATGGAGATATGGAGAAAGAAACATATGTTAAATGGAGAAAGATTGCAGGTTGTGGAAAATTTTGAATATCTTGGGTCATTGATAAGCAACAATGGTGACACAATAAAAGAAATTAAACGACAACTATCATTTGCTCTTCAGAGACTAAAACACCATAATAAATTATGGATTTGGAATAGACAGAACTACAAAAATTGGATTTCTAAAAGCATGCATCTTTCCCATTGCAACGTACGCCTGTGAGACATGGACACTTACTAAAGAAGCTGAACAAAGCATAAATGCCTTAGAATATAAATGTTTCAGTTGGGTTGTAAGAATATCATGGGTAAAGAAAATAACACATGCATCCATACTTCAAGAACTAAATATTGAAGAACGTTGGCTATTAAAGAACGATAAAACACAGAAAACAGAGATTTTGGTCACTTGAAATGTCACGAAAGTTTAAAGAGAACAATAACAGAGGGGTATATGCCTGGGAAGAGAAAAGCCAAAGATGGGTGCAGAATCTGGCAGATGATCTCCAGAAGGATGATTGGACACGAGACATCTCGCTTGTGATGGGAGTTTTCTAGAGGGTTGTTATGAAAGCAAAGAAAGAGGGTGGTTATGGGAGCAAGACTCTGCAAAGATCAGGCTACTGATTGATTGAACAGTCCTCTATGCATATGAAGCATGAAAACAACTCACCAACCATTGCGATCAAGTGCAAGCAAATTAGTTTTGCTGACCAAAAATTCACATTTTGAATCTTTCAACTTTCCTACACCCAAACAGGTTTGTGCTGACATTCCATGTGCAATAGCAACTGTTCGTGAACAGAGTTCATTGTTAATTTGTTCAACAGTCAGCAGGTCCAGGGTTGTCTCGTCACTTGTAAAAAAAAAAAAAATTTGAAAAGTCTTTAACACCTTACAAAGTCAGCCAACACATCATTCGCAGGCGTTAACATGAATTTGGACTGGCTGCTTAACATTCTGCAGTCGAAATCACCCCAACTCCTTCCTGCTCATCCCAAAATATATGTTGCAGTGCATCCAATTGATAAGGGGTTAGCTACCTACTACTGCGAATGGAATTCCCGTTCAATGTGGCAGACAGGTAAGCTGCACACCCAGCTTTGAAAAGTTTTTCCGTCTGCGGTTTACTGTACCATTTCCTCCCATTTCCGTGGCCCAGCTATTCCTGTGCTACACCATGAGCTTCAGAAGTCGGGTCAGTTCCAGGATAATCTCCCCACCGAAACTA